GCCTCCCAAGTAGCTGGGACTACAGGCGCCCGCCACAACGCCTGGCCATTTTTTGGTTGTAGCCATCATTCCATCATTGTTGTTTGGCGGGCCCCGGCTGGGGATTCGAACCCGCCACCTTAGGTGTATATGGCTGGCACCTTAGCTGCTTGAGCCACAGGCGCCGAGCCGAGTAGAGGAGGATGTTGAAGGGCTATGTGGTTTTTATTTCTTTACTAACTATGCACCAATTTTATAGACATTTAAGAGTGATGTCTGTGAACATTGGTTTTCTTTTCCTATGTCTTATGGAGGGAAGGAACTGTGTTCCTATTTATTTGTTGCCTATGCCACTATGAGGCATGATTAGCAAAATTTTAAACTTCTTTTTTTGAGAAACAGTCTTACTGTGCTGCCCTCAGGAGAGTGCTGTGATGTCATACCTCATAGCCAACCTCAAACTCCTGGGCTAAGTGATCCTTTTTGGATCCATAGTAGCGGGGCCTATAGGCACCTGCAACAACGCCTGGCTATTTTTTCTATTTTTAGTAGAGATGGGTCTCGCTCTTGCTTAGGTAATCCATCTGCGTTGGGCTCCCAGAGTGTTAGAATCACAGGCATGAGCCACCATGCTGGCCCAAAATTTTGAACTTTGATAGTTAAATCTCTGGATTGCTTCCCAATGAGCAGCTGGCTGTGGGGATGTGCTTTTCTCTTAAAGACTCTGGCAGGAAGAACCTGTCTATTGGATTGCTCCCTGACATGGAGCAATCAGCATTGCCCTTTCATTCCAGCCACTTCATGTGAAGTTACCATCATCAGCTGCTTCTACTTGTTTCCCTTTGATAAACATGGGCTGGGGAATAATGTTGAGATTCTTAGTATAAGATGGAGTTGGAATAGGCCGTGGTGGGAGTAGGGGCAGAGCTGTGCTATATTGATTATTGAATGGTTTCTGTTATAATTTTTCACAGAGAAAAGAGTAACTTTTTTTTTCTCCCTTAGAAGACAAAAATCCTAATGCTTTTGAGAAAGCGATAAAGTTGGGAGGGAGGGGGAAGAAGCAACTGCTTTCCTGATCTGCAACTTGGCTGGATGCTAAGATGTCCGTGGACATGAATAGCCAGGGTTCTGACAGCAATGAAGAGGACTATGATCCAAATTGTGAGGAAGAGGAAGAAGAGGAAGATGAGGACCCTGGGGACATAGAGGACTATTATGTAGGAGTAGCCAGCGATGTGGAGCAGCAAGGGGCGGATGCCTTTGATCCAGAGGAGTACCAGTTCACCTGCTTGACCTACAAGGAGTCTGAGAGTGCACTCAACGACCACATGACCAGTTTAGCCTCGGTCTTAAAGGTGAGCAGTATTGTAAATGCCAGTATAATCCCCCGTTTAAATCTAAGGGGGAGCTATTGGTAACTTCTATCTTCTCTAGACTAAATGATCTTGTAGCTTTAAACCAAATTTAAATGTACATTACATCATGTGGACATTTTATCACATTTACTTTGTTTTTTAATATATACATATCTAAGGTTCTCAGATTCCTAAGTTATTAAGAATAAAGGAAGAATGGGGTGGATTCAATAGATACAAACCAGAAGTACATAGCAGTAGACCTAAATAGGTTTTGCACTTGTTTCAGAAAGTGAATCTGATGAAGTAGATACAATAACCATCAGAATCACCATATTGTGCACAATATGTTTGAGTGATAAATTTCTTGAGAGGGAAATAATGGTTTGCCCTAAATAATCAGTGCCTTTGGGCTAATGAACTCATTTGTTTCATTTATTGATGGCTAATGTCCAGTGTTAATTGAGATTTTAGTATTTAGTAATTAGTAATAACTCTGAGAATAAATGAGTTCTCCTAGTTTGTATTTCATGGATGTGGAGGTGTTAGTAATTAGTATGAAAAACTTTTCTTTTTGGAAACATACATGTTTAGTATAATGATAGTATGAAAAAATTTAAACAATGAACAAAGATGATTATTCTTGTAAGGATGTTTTCTTTCTTTTTTTTTTTTTATAGAGACATAGTCTTGCTTTATTGCCCAGGCTGTAGTGCAATGATGTGATCATAATTCACTGCAGCCTTAAACTTCTGGGCTCAAGCAGTGCTCCTTCCTCTGCCTCCCAAGTGGTACAGCCCACCATGACAGGCTAATAATTTTATTTTATATTTTGTAGAGGTGGGGCCTTGCTCTGTTCCTCAGGCTGACTCAAACTTTTGGACTCAAGTGCTCCTCCTGCCTCTGCCTCCCAAAGTGCTAGGGTTACAAAGATGAGCCACTGCGCCTAGCCTAGAATCTTATTTTTTAGTACTTAACCTAAAGCATGCCTTTGAATGTCTTGTACCTCAGGCTGTTATTTGCCTCGCTGTTTACATTTTTTATGGTTATTCAGTTTTCCAGCATGTTTCCTTCTCTACTATTGGTCATTATGTGAAAGTAGAGGGAACATTTTCTCAGATCTTCCTTCAGTGAACTGTTATGTGGACTTTATTATCTGATCAAATTGAAAATTAGAAGGACTCGGCAGTGCCTGTGGCTCAGTGAGTAGGGCCTCGGCCCCATAGACCTTGGATGGTAGATTCAAACCCAGCTCCAGCCAAACTGCAAAAAAAAATAGCCGGGCCTTGTGGTGGGCGCCTGTAGTCCCAGCTACTCGGGAGGCTGAGGCAAGAGAATTGCCTAAGCCCAAGAGCTAGAGTTGCTGTGAGCTGTGATGCCATAGTACTCTACTGAGGGTGACAAAGTGAGATACTATCTCTAAAAAAAAAAAAAAAATTAGAAGGACATATTGGCATGATTTCAATCACATAAATTTTTTTATCAGTAATTCTTTTTTTGAGACAGAATTTCACTTTGTCACCCTTGGTAGAGGGCAGGGTGTCATAGTTCACAGCAACCTCAAACTCCTGGGCTTAAGCGATTCTCTTGCCTCAGCCTCCCAGTACCTCGGACTATAGGCACCCACCACAATGCCCAGCTATTTTTAGAGATGAGGCTCAGGCTGGTCTTGAACCTGTGACTGTGGCCTCCCAAGTGCTGGGATTACAGCAGCTGTGAGCCACTGTGCCTGGCCCTACGTTTTCTTTTCCTTTTTTTTTTGAGACAGACCCTCAAGCTGTCACCCTGGGTAGAGTGCTGTGGTATCACAGCTCACAGCAACCTCAAACTCCTGGGCTTAAGCTATTCTCTTGTATCAGTCTCCTGAGCAGCTGGGACTACAGGCACCTGCCACAACATCCAGCTATTTTTAGAGATGAGGCTCAGGCTGGTCTTGAACCTGTGAGCTCAAGCTATCTGTCCGCTGTGGCCTCCTAAGTGCTGGGATTACAGCAGGCTTGAGCCACTGTGCCCATCCCTAGGTTTTCTTTCTTTTTTTTTGAGATAGCCTCAAGCTGTCGCCCTGGGTGGAGTGTTATAGCATCACAGCTCACAGCAACCTCCAATTCCTGGACTTAAGTGATTATCTTGCCTCAGCCTCCCAAGTAGCTGGGACTATAGGCACCCTCCATAAGGCCCGGCTATATTTTTTGGTTGTAGTTGTCATTATTTTGGCAGCCTCGGGCTGGATTTGAACCCGCCAACTCTGGTATGTGGCTAGAGCCTTAGCCACTTGAGCTACAGATGCCGAACCGGCCCTAGGTTTTCTATTTTTAGTAGAAATGGGGTCTCGCTCTTGCACTAGGTGGTCTAAAACTCCTGAGCTCAAGCAGTCCAACCACCTTGGCCTTCCAAAGTGCTAAGATTTTTTTTTTTTTTCCCAAAGTGTTAAGATTGTAGATGCGAGCCACTGCGCCTAGCTCCACCTCTTTTTTTTTTTTACTAGGCTGGCATATATGTCCAGTTTTCTGGAAAGCCTTTCTTTACCTCCTCACTATTTAGTGCTCACAGGGGTTCTTTAGAGGCTAGCTTGTGCTTTCCCTGAGAACTTCTTGAGAACCCATAGAGCACAGTTCCTTCAGGGCAGTAACTCTCCTAAACCTTTTATCCTCCATCATTCCTGTCATGGCATTCTTTTCACAGTTGATATTGAATAATTTCTTGGATACATGTGGATATTGTTGATTTTTGTGACAGTAGCTGCTGCTGCTGTTGTGAACTACATTTCCTTGTGCTCGCTATATATCCTTCTGTGTTGTCATGAAAGGGCTTTCAAGACTAAGAAGAAAAGGAGCAAAAGGAATGTAGAACAGAGATGAGGGAATAAAAAGATATGGAAAAAGGTTGAAACAGAAAGAAAGGGTTAAATTAAAAAATAGGGCAAAGAGGAAAATCGTTCACAAAAATGTAAATGGTAGTAAAAGACAGATTTTTTTTTTCCTTTTCCTAGACCTCTTGTACATGTTAACACCTTTTTTTTCCCTAGGGGTTAGACATCAAAGATCATGGCTCTTTTAGTGGTTTGGCCATACATAAATGAACTCACTGGTGTTTTTTGCAGTTTTTGGCTGGGGCTGGGTTTGAACCTGCCACCTCTGGCATATGGGGCCAGCACCCTACTTCTCTGAGCCATAGTCGCTGCCCAACTCAGTGGTGTTTTTTTTTTTTTTTTTTTTTTTTTTGAGACAGAGCCTCAAGCTGTCCCCCTGGGTAGAGTGCCGTGGCATTACAGCTCACAGCAACCTCCAACTCCTGGGCTCAAGCGAGTCTCTTGCCTCCGCCTCCCAAGTAGCTGGGACCACAGGTGCCCACCACAACGCCCGGCTATTTTTTGGTTGCAGCCGTCATTGTTGTTTGGCGGGTCTGGGCTGGGGATTTGAACCCGCCACCTTAGGTGTACGTGGCTGGCGCCTTAGCCGGTTGAGCTATAGGCACCAAGCCTTCAATGGTGTTTTGCTTTGAGACAGAGTCTCACTATGTTGCCTTTGGTAGAGTGCCGTGTGTTACAGCTCACAGCAACCTCAAACTCTTGGGCTTAAGCAATTCTCTTGCCATAGCCTCCCAAGTAGCTGGGACTACAGGCACCCGCCACAATGTCCAGCTGTTTTTGTTACAGTTGTCATTGTTTAGCTGGCCCAGGCTGGGTTTGAACCCACCACTTTTGGTGTATATGCCTGGCACTGTAACTACTGTACTACAGATGCTGAGCCTCAGGGATGTTTTAAATGGTTCAAGAACTTAACCATAGAAACAGGGCAGAAAGGAAAGTAGAAGGAATCATATAATTCTTCTCTTCCATACTTGGTTAAAAACTGGCATTATTGAGCCGTGCCTGTGGCTCAAAGGAGTCGCTGGCCCCATATGCCAGAAGTGGTGGGTTCATACTCAGCCCTGGCCAAAAACTACCCAAAAAACCCCCCAAACTGGCATTGTTTTTATTTTTGTCATTTTGAGGATGGGAGTGAATGATACAAGTGTGTAGTTTACCCAGTTGTGTTGGCCAACTGGTGCTACTGTGGTTGCCATGTTGTTCTTGTCTTTGAAAGTGATCAACCCTTTGACTTCAAAGTGCTCAGAAATGTACATTCACCTTGTATTGAATGCCTAAGCATCATTTGCAACAAAGGAATATCTTGTTTAAACACCTATGAGAGTTGTTCGCAGTCAAAAGGTTAATAGTGATGATTACCCACATCACCACTGAGGTCCCTATTGATCATAGGGCTGTTTGCACAATTTTGTGGCATATCAAGGTATTTAATTCTTTTGTATGATTTAGGTGCAGTTTGGCTCATAGAAAATGTGATGTACTGGCTCGGTGCCTGTGGCTCAAGTGGCTAAGGCACCAGCCACATACAGTTAAGGTGGCGGGTTCGAATCCAGCCTGGGCCCGCCAAACAACAATGAGGCTGCAACCAAAAAATAGCCAGGCGTTGTGGCGGGCACCTGTGGTCCCACCTACTTGGGAGGCTGAGGCAGGAGACTCACTTTAGCCCAGGAGTTGGAGGTTGCTGTGAGCTGTGATGCTATGGCACTCTACCCAGGGGGACAGCCTGAGGCTCTGTCTCAAAAAAAAAAAAGAAAGAAAATGTGATGTATTTATGTAATTAAAAATTACAGTCTATGAATAAAAGCTATGTAAGTTTAAGGAGTGACTGAAATGTTTCACTGATGCTCTTGTCTGTATTAACTTATTTTGTTGTGTCCAGGTACAAAGTTAAGCCTTTTATTGCCTTTTGGGATTTGAGGTCTATAAGTAGAAAAATCCCAATTGTCTTGGATGCTCAGCTTTTAGTTTAGTAAAGGCCCTGGTGTCAGAGGGTAACTTCTTGTTTGTGTTCCAGGATCAGTCCATGAGTATGATCGTTATTATTATTATTTTTATTGAATGGTAACTATGTACATTAATGCACTTCTGGGGTACGGTGTGGGGTTTTCACGCACAATCCGAAACACTTCCA